GCTGGGGAGATAGTTTAACAAATAAGAGCACAGGCTGCTCATCTAGGGAACCCTGGTTCGATTCCACACACAAATGGCAGCTCACTATCATCTATAACTCTACTTCCATGGAATCTAACACCCTCACCTGGCCTCTCCAGGCTGTGAATGCATGTGATATATATGATACATAGATACGCACACACATTTTCAAAGCAGCTCCTAATGATGCTTGATGAACTGTCCATTTGTTAATATGTCCTAGTCCTTTTTTTGACATTTTCACCTTTTTCTTATTTTATATTTAAATTTAAATTAGAAACAAAGTTGCTTCACATGTCAATTCCAGGTCCCTCTCCCTTTCCCTCCCCTCCTCCCATGCCCTCCCACCAACCCCTCTAATATCCCCTCATTTCCCCAGGGAGGGTGAGGCCCTCCATGGGGGTGTCCATAGTCTGTCATTTCATCCAGGGCAGGGCCTAGAGCCTCCCCCAAGAGTCCAGGGTGAGAGTGCAACTCTCATTGTTGGATGGGCGCCCAAAGTCCATTTGTATACCCGGGATAAATACTGATCTACTACCCAAGGCTCAATAGATTACCTAGGCCTCCTCATTGACACCCACATTGAGGGGGTCTTGATCAGTCCCATGCTGGATTCCCAGTCGTCAGTCTGGGATTCAAGAGCTAACCCTTGTCAGGTCAGCTGTTTCTGGATGCTAAACCAGCCCAGTCTTAACCCCTTTGCCCATCAGTCCTCCCTCTCTGTCACTGGATTCCTTGAGTTCAGCTGGGGGTCTGCCTCTGCTTCCATCTCATATATGGATTTTAGACATAGATCTAGGGAGTGCCAGTCTACAATCCCATGGCCAGAGAGTCTGGGAAATAGAACCTTCATTCAATGTGCTACTCCTTTTTATCACTGCTGTTTTTGGTTTGAATCTACTTTATCAAGCATAAAAATAATTTCAGCAGCTGTTCCCAGCTTCCATCCACTTTCTAGATTGACTTCCCTCCTCTGACTCAATCGTGGATGTCTTTACCAGTGAGGTGTGTGTCTTGGAGATTTAAAATTTGTTCAGTTTTCTAATCTAGTCAGACGATATGCTTCTTATTATTAGAAATCTGGGGTCAGTGATGTGCGAGATTGTTCCTGTGACATTTTATAAAGATGGAAATGACAGCAGAGACAGCTAGGACTGAGGAGAATTTGAGGAACATTTGAAGGGCAGTGTGGAACTCTAGCACTGTGGAAGCTTCCTATAATATACACAGGTGGTCCTATGATGTCTCCAAATATTGATGGAGTCAGAACTCCTACTAATCATCTCTAATCACTAATGATAATTCTGCTGTACTCATAGATTGGTGCCTTGTTCAGTCACCATCAGAGATGATTCGTCCTGAGCAGACAGGAACAAATACAGAGACCATAGGCAGACACTATAAGGAGAGAAGGGAGAGAGGGAGAGAGAGAGAGAGAGAGAGAGAGAGAGAGAGAGAGAGAGAGAGAGAGAGAGAGAGAGAGAGAGAGAGAGAGATACCTCTGAACACTCAAGCTCTAAATGAGATGTCTGTATCAAATCCTTCCCCTCAGAGCTCAGAGAAGCCTATGGAAGAGGATGCAGAAGGAGTTGGCGAGACAGAAAGAATAGAAAACACCAGAAGGACAAGGCCCTCTGAATCAACCAAGGACAATTCATATGAACTCAGAGACTGACTCAGCAAGCACAGGACCTACATGAGTCTGTACCAGGTCCTCTACATGTATTCTAAAGCCTTCAGTTTAGTACTTTTATGGAACTCCTGGATGTGTTACAAGTGGGCCTCTGTGATTCTTGTGCTTTCTCTTGGGGCTCTTTTATTTTCCTTTGGCTTGGCTTGTCCAATTTTAATATGATGGTTTTTGTTTTATCTTATTATATTTTATTTTGTTATGTTTGATTGTTATTTCCTAGAAGCCTATTCTTTTCTAAGGAGAGAAAGACAGAAATGGAGTAGATCCAGGTGGCAGAGGAGGTGGGAAGCACCTGGGAAGAGTAGTGGGAGGGGAAATTGTATTCAGATAAAATAATAATAATAATAATAATAATAATAATAATAATAATAATAATTCAAAAAGACTTTCTGCTACTGGCTATACTGGATGTTGCTATGCATGTCCAGTATCCCAGAGTCTTCATTCTCTATAGTAGAGAACACAGCTAGGTAATGAAGGCACACCAGCCCACTCAATCATATGGCTCTGTCAGGCTTTACCCTACTCCCCATTACTGAACTATTAGATTACAGTCCTAAACTAGCCACCAGGGTCTACTCCCTTATTTGACCACATCTTCCCCCTATGGCTGACTACCAAATTCCAGCTATCAAAGCATTGAACTCCAACAGTCATCAAAGGCCCCTTTGGCTCACCTAATTAACATACACAATTAAAATTAAACACCTCATCCTAACACAGGGCGTCCCCCTTTTCCTTTATAAGCCACCCATTTTCCTATGTTCCATGTCTGTCTCCTCTATCCAGAGGAAATCCTTTGTGCCTCTGGGACAAATACCCCTGCCCCTGTTCACTTCCCCTTCTCCCCCATCCTCTATCTCCTGTCTTTGTCTTTTATTCCCTACCCTCTCTCCCTCCGGGAAAAATAAATCTTTGTACTGAGAACTTGGTCTTTGGGGTCCTGGGCTGACACTGGTTCTTTCAGCGGTTTCCAGAGGCAATCTGCTTAAGCTCAGGGTTATTCTCAGCTGATGAAACCTGCTCTCAGCCATCAAGAGCAGGGCAACATGATCTACGTATTTCAGTACTTGAGCAGATTCCTCTGACCTGCACCCTTCAAAGGCCCTCCTTCCTCTGCTTTCCACAGAACTTTGTAAGGATGTCTCTCATGCTGGTGCTAAGACAGATTCTCTGGCTTCTGATTACTCCTTTCTCAGGCTTCCAGGGTATCTCAATTTTCAACAACAGTTTGGTTTTGGTCTTGGTTTCTTTCTGAAGATTATGCCTGTCTACTGCCCTATGAATCATGCTGAGTGGCAAAATAGATTTTCTTTTTCTACTGTTCACCATCAGAAGAGTCACCATCTCTCTAAAAGCTACAACTTGTTTTAAGATGTTGTATGATAAAACATTTTCTGGGGAAATATAATAAACACATCTACTTGCCCCAGATAGGGAACCCACAACAGACCTAAACATGGATGCCACCAAAGTCCATCTTGGTGAATCAATGAGTTTTATTAGGGCTACAGACAGGAGAAGAAATGACTCAAAGGCGGTTACATCACCAAAGCCCACCTCAGCATGGCTCACAGCTAACAAAACTGGGGACCTGGACCCTGGACAGGCTACAGACAGCTCAGAAGCTTGGAAGTGTCCTTTCCATGTGCCTCAGTTGGTCTAAAACCTCTCCCAGCCAACTCAGCAGGTTTCTGCTTTTTCCAGGCAGCTAGTCAGGTCTGAGAAACTTCTTGGCAGCTTGGTTTTGCTTCCTGTCAGAGGGACTTTCAACTTCTATTATTTGCTCTGGCAGAAGAGGCCTAGTGCATGTGGTCAGTCTCAGGGACTCTGTGAAGGTGGCTCAGTTGTTTACTTCCCCGCTGAAGGACTCCCTCCCTGCAGGATGAACACCCCAGCCTTGGAGAGAACTGTTTCCCAGCATGAGGCTTGTTAGGCAGATGGAAGAGTGTTTGGAGGGCTTGTTTTGAATGTTTTGTTTGTTTGGTTTTATTGGAACCTGTCTGTATTACCCTTGTGATAAGGCTCCTGCTTCTTCTTCAACAGTCAAGGAAGTGTGTCTATATGTCTTGGCTTCTTTTGGGATGTTGTCTGGCTTTGGTGCTACACTTTCCGGTGTATCCTATACATTTGAGAATTTTCAAAGCTCTTCATCTTCTCAGAAGAGTCTTTTTTTTGGCAGTTGCCCTTCACCAGATCACACCAGCAACTTCTACTCTGCCATTTTATCCTGAACTTTCTATCCTTCCTTCAGAAGTATCTTCCATGTTTACAGTTCTAGATGATTTAACAGAAACATGTAACATGACATGGATGCCTCAAGATTCCTGTAGTCCACTTAATACCCTGTATGAAACAGTTCACTTTATTGATACTATTAAAAATATTTGAACACAGCCAGGCAGTGGTGGCACACGCCTTTGAATCCCAGAACTTGGAGGCAGAGGCAGGTGGACTGCTGTGAGTTCAAGGCCAGCCTGGTCTAGAGAGTGAGTTCTAGGACAGCCAGAGCTCACAAAGAATCCTGCCTTGAAAAACAAAACAGACCAAAAAGGTATTTGAACAGAGGGCTGATACCTGACCTATTTTCTCACATCTAAACTACAACTATCATCTGTCCAAAAAAGGCAAAGTAGGATATGTCTATGATACTCCCTGCAACAAAATGGGTTCAAAACAAATGATTTTTTCAATATCAGAACTAATGAATTTTGTATGTGCTAATACACACATTCAAGGATAACTTTATAAATATTTTGCTGTGTATTTCCTCAAGGTGGAGTTATTTCTCTCCTATCTATCAGAAGTGGACCTAGTGGCTGACTGGCTGTGTGCTAGGATATCATGTTTATGATTAGATCATAAAGAAATACTGTGACCTCCAGCTCGGCCTCACTTTCCTTTATATTTATATTCACATTCATATCCCCCCTCCCTTTCCCTCCTTCCCATTCTCTCTGGGGAAAGCCTCTGTGCTTCCCTATAACAAAAAGGTAGTCCCTTGCAGAGACACCTTAGGCTTGTCAACAGTCACATGAGTGACCACTGAAAGCAGGTAGTTCCCAGGTAGGACCTAAGATGATGACAGCCTGATTACATTCTCCAGAGAGACCAGAGTCTAGAACCAAGCAGATAAGCCACCAGGAGGCTCCTGATGCCCAGAAACCAAGATATGTTTTAAATAGTTTATTACTTGGCCAAAAGAAACATCAGATAGAGCACCGAGGAAAGGTTATTTGATAATAATAACTGATTATATAAATTTGATATGATTATATTTTTTTACCTTCTTCCTTTGAAATTGGTCAGACCAAATCCGTAAAATATAGGAACTCCTAAGTAATCAAGTTTTCTCTGTTCTATCCACTTTTTAACTGCAAAGAAAAATTAACAAGAAACATGATTTTAAAAGGTATTTTACATTTGTAGAGATGCTAAGACTTACTTATCTAACTAAACTAGTAATTAGACCTAAGAAAATAAAAACTTGGTAAAAATAGATATACCTATCTCATGGCTTCAAACACTTTTATTTCTACTATAATTAACATAAAATGCTTAAAAACAAAACTAAGAGTACCATAAAAGACAAATCCTTACAAAGTAGATTGTTATCACTCATAAATAAAAATCCATTAAACAAAGCATTTCATCATATGCTAGCTAAATTTCTAAATGTAACACATGCTGACCACAAGGGACACTTCTCCTCACTACTGCCTTCATTGAAGTTGAAAGCCATGTTAATCCAAAAGGTACAAATTGGGCAGAAAAAATACCTGACTCTGAAATTAAAAGTTATTTGCTCTGTAAAATAACTGTTTTAAATAAATTTAGTTTACCAAAAAAATCATAATTGAATTGTTTAATTCCGTTAAACAATCAGGTAGTTTAATCACTGTTTTCACTTCTCTCCTATGTGTGTTTTATGCTTAAGACAGCTTCCCTGATAAAACGATCAAATTTAATGGATTCTATTTGTCACTCTGACATAGTTGAAGCAGTTAGTAAAGACTATAGTCATAGTGTTTGGAAGCTTTATTAAGGAAAGGAAAGTTAATTATTCGGGCCAGATCCATCATTCTTTCTCCTAAACAAGATATAAAGGCCCTTGACCATTCTAGTCATTATGACTCCTACTGACATCCACAATGCTTCACTTAGTTCTTAGAAACCTCTTCCTGGTCTTCATCTCTGCTTATAATCATTTCACATTCAGCTCTCTAGCTAATAGTTCTTATTTGCTATCTAGCTCCAAACAACTTCCCAACATTCACCTAATATTTTCTTAAAATCTTATATTTAATCATTTGCAAATATTTTAATCCACCTTACAACTCTTCCCTTTGTGTGTGTGTGTGTGTGTGTTCTATCTACGTTAGTTTCGTCACTATATGCTTTCTATCTAAATGCATCTTTATAAAAGAAATAATTTCATTCTACAATCTTTTATGCTTAGAGAATTCTTGATAATTCCACAAGTCAGCATGCTATGTAAAATAGTAGAAAAACTTTGACTTAAAATATATAACCCGTTATGTGTGCCATATCAAGATGTGTATACCATCTGTCTTGCTTTTATACGTTATAACTGTTAAGTACATCATTTTACAATAAAATTTCATGTGGAAAAGAATTTTCTAGAAGGCCAGAAAAAGACCAAAATATTAACCCTCACTTTAGCAAGCCCATGTATGGCAGAGCTGCTTAGCTGTTTTTACTTACTATATTCTCTTTTTGCAGCTCTCTGATAAAATTTAAGTTCTGAAAATAATGGGCCATTCTCTTGATATTCCTATGAAAGAAAAATAATTAATTTTAATAGGAAGAATTATCCTAAAGATAAAACAATCGTATTAACTGTGAAAATATAAGCATTCACACATAAAATACATAATATAGAATTATTCTTCATCAAACAAGAACCAGATTTCTACTAAAAAAAAAAAAGATAACACTAAATAAACTTGAAAAGTCTCATTTTAGACAACATATTGTACTGCTATCCCAATATAGTCTTATGCATGAAAGAAGTCTTCTGTAAAGATCTTCTCAAAAACACTGAGAACTGTATACATAAATAACACTGGCTGTATCGCAATGTGTCTTCGGGGCAGGCATACTGGAAAGTACCATGGGGTCCTCTCACACATGACTCCTTCACTAACAGTCTACTACATGTTATTCATTGTGCTATGCCCAGGGGACATGGACAGGAGTGAAATCCTAAGCCTTGCCTTAAGGTCCTTACTACCTAAAAGAGGGAAGGAAAGAACATATTTTTTATGAGAATAAAGCAGAATGGGTAAAAAGTCAGAAATATAGGCCTATAAATGTAAGAACACTTACCACTTTTATTACATGTCTTGCATCTTTGTTTGGTTTATTTGTAGAGAAAGCTACAGAAAAAAGACAAGTAGAAAATAATAGTTATTCCAAATCACAGAGAGATCTTAGATATGAATACATGAACTAGATTATCTCCAAAGCCTCTTATAACTGTCGCCATCTCCACTCTATAAAAGGTGCTGCTGAAGTTGAGGAAATGGAATAAATTTCTCAGTAAGAATGATAGATTGAGGCCTGTCTGACACAGAACACACTGCTCATCATATTCTATATTCAAGCATTCAGACATAAGAAGTGAAAAGACAATGTTAATCACATACTCTAAGTGCAGAGAAGGTAAGAAAGCTAAAGCACATGAGATTAAGCCTGTCCAAGGTGTTCCTAGGATATAGTTCTCACATCCATGCCAGGGTGGGATTCTCATTGATCCAGCTGCCCAAGTGACCCATGTTCCATAAAGAGACCCTCAGCCAAGCTTCTATAAGTAACACCAACAACCCCAATGGTCTACTAAACTAGTTTTGGGTGGACTGTTTCCCTGGCATGACATCTGGTGTTTCCCCAGGAAGTGGTATAGTATACATGATGTATGCACACAAAAACCACAAATAAGTTAAAGAAGAACAATTGCAATAGATGATATTATAGACAGCTAATGTCTATGGGTGGAATGCCAGAGGGGCAATCCTGACACGGTTGCCCTTGCCCCATGTTGTATGGAATGGTGTGGCTTCTCCCTGGAGTGACAGTTGCATGTTCCCTGCTATGTTTGGTAAGAGAAGCAAACAAGCATGACCAATCTGAGGAATGGGAATGCTTGGGAGTAACACCAAGGTTGTTGTCGCCCTTACTCTGACCCCAAACCACCAATGGACCTGAGAAAATACCATAATACTTTGAAACCGGTATGTATGGAAGGGATTCTAAGCTAGACACGGTGTCAGCTGTGTGGTCTCTGTTGTCAGCACTAAAACAACTGAAGCTGACCTGTCTCCCCAGAAAGAACTGGTTCAAGCGGAAAAAAATGGCTGCTACACACAGAAACACTGCCCCAGTTGCATTACAATGGTTAGCCAGTTAGTTGAAGAAATGAATATCTGCTTTTAATTATAAGCCAAGCCTATTCTAGATATAAAATTGACATCAAAAAATTCCATAGCATCTACTTTTGTTGTAGGGTGAAAAAAAATCAGATATTCATCAGTTATTTACATAAGCGCAATATTGCAACAAGGAACAAAGACATTGACAGAAATTGTATTTAAACCTCTGATATGTGAATGCATTTGAGAACTAATGACATCTTACAGATGTTGTCCAGCATGTAGCAGCTAAACATAACCATAGTGCTTATGCATGAACTCAATCCTACAAGTCCTTTTTCCAACTATTGATCTTGCATATTAATGACAGTTTTGCACAATAAATTCGTCATTGAATTGGTGTTAACAAAAATTGAACTGGCATTAACTAAAGTTATCACACACATAGAAAAATTGATGAGCCTGGAATAGAGTAGTGCAAGGAAAATTTGAAATTAGTTAGGGAAAAAGTTATCACAACATGACTGTGACAACTGAGTACTGTATGAATTGCCTAAATGACTATTTTTAAAGCATTTTATCAAACTTTAATGGGAAACATTGAATATTGGATCTATAGCAGGTCCCACAAAAGGCACTCAAGAGGAAAATAATGATTCTGAACTGTGTTAGCATCTAACATGAGTTCAACACGTACACATGAAATAATGATGTATATTATTTGATATAATTTCAAGAATCTTCATGAGTTTAAATAGACTAATTTCATCAGCTAAAATAAGAAAGTGCCGTGCTGTTAAAACTCAGATTAATCCATACTATTGATAAAACACAAACTTAAGCTTAATGATGGCAAATTGCTATGTCAAACAGAAGAAAGAAAATAAGCTAATACAACAAAATTAATTGAAAGAATGAAGAAAGCTTGAACACAGAGTTTCAAAACTGAGGAAAGAATTATTAGATAACAAGCCAGTAATGAAAGAAACTGTGTAATGAACATAATATAACTTGAAAGTATATAGCAATAGTTTAAAATATATAAATCAACAACTAGTAGAACTATAGGTAAAAACTGGTGACAAAACAGTGAAAAATATTAATGGCAGCCAAACAAACAAAACAGATTCAAACTGCACAGTTCACAATTTTTCTCTAGAAACTAGATTTAAAAACAGTAGTGAGGAGGCCTAGGCAATCTATGGGGCCTTGAGTAGCAGATCAGTGTTTATCCCTGGCATACAAATGGACTTTGGGAGCCCATCCCACAATGAGGGATGCTCTTTCAGCCTGGACTCTTGGGGGAGGGCCTAGGCCATGCCCTGAATGAAATGACAGACTCTGGAGATCCCCCATGAGGGCCTCACCCTCCCTGGGGAAAGGAGTGGAGATTGGGTAGGGGGTTGGTAGGGGGTGCGGGGGAGGAGACGGAGTGGGAGCTGAGATTGACATGTGAAGCAAGCTTGTTTCTAATTTAAATTTTAAAAAAAGTACAGGTTGACAGTTGTGATTAGAGAGAGCAAATAAACAAAACTGTATATCTGGAAAAAAAGATGACTTCAAGCATATATTGATATTAACATATGGACATTTTGGCCAATAAGGGGTGTGTGTGTGTGTGTGTGTGTGTGTGTGTGTGTGTATGTGTGTGTGTGTGTGTGTGTAATCAACAATGTGAAAAAACAGTAAAGAACACATACTCTCTTCAAGAATGCATAAAATATTACTTTTAAACTGTCTACATTTGTATCTGGAAAATAACTCCCTTCTTCAATTCCTTTTTAAATTTAAACTAAAATTGTTCATGTAGTATATTCTCCCTGCAACTCCTCTTATAGTCTTACCAGCTTCGTGCCCACCCAACACTGTGAACTGTCTCTCACAAAACAAACAAATGAAAAAGCAATAAAACAAAAAGCACCCGAGAAAACAAAACACAAGGCACACATACAAACACAGAGTTTGTTTTCTGTTTGTTTACTAGTCCTGGACATGAGGCCTATCCCGGAGTAGAAGTGATATACACCGTGGCACTGCCTTGGAGAAGACAGATTCCACTGTCCCAAAGATATCAATCATAAATAGCTTCTTGGTTAAGGTGGAATTGTATTCAGTGCCCCTTCCCCAAGCTGTCCAATGAACATGGGGAACTCAAACAGGTGCCCAGCTAGAAGATCCACCGATATTAACTAATAGTGTGGTGCTGGAAGGTGTTCTGCACACTACCAGTGGAGAAAAGCAACCATCACTATCACCCAGCTATAAATTGTGACCTACAACAGTGGTCTGCATGCAAAATATACTAGCACAACAGTGATAAAAATGTTATGGGAATAACCAACCACCTTTTGGTTGGATTGAGGCCCAATCTTTGAGATGAAACCCATTCCTGACACTACTGAAGTGACCAGGAATGTAGAACTAGATAGGTCACAGACTTGAGGAAAACCTATTACTATTATCTGCTAAAGGAACAAAGCAATAAAATGACCCTATATGACATATTACAATACCATGTATCAGTGCATCTCCCAACCCTCACCAGAGTAGACTCCCCCTTGTAACAGCTAGTAATTAACAGAAACCCACAAGGAAACAATGTGGAAAGAGTGAGAGACTTTGAAAACCTCATCCCTAAATGTACTGTCTTCAGCAAACCCCTCCCTCAGGGATCAGAGACCTATGAAGAAAGAGGAGGGGGCAATTGAAAGGGTGGGCGGTAATGGATGACCCCAAAGCAACAGTCTTCCAGAGACAATAGGGCTGTTACACATATGAACTCACGGAAACAGGACAGCAAGGACAAGACTTGCCTAAGTTCACAAAATAACTCCTAAAAATATTAAGCCATATTCTCTGACCACAGTAAATGGTCCCTAAGGAAATTAGAAAGCATAGCAGAACCCATGAAATGCATAATTGTAGGAGGAAGTCTGATGCCGCCATTAAACATGTGACTTACTAAGTCTATGCCGCCATTAAACATGTGACTTACTAGAGGCGCATACAGATGAGGTAATAAAAGGGCGGTTTACCACACCGCTAACCACACCCACTTTAGGCAGGACTAAAGACGTATACGGCTGGACGTGAAGACGTATACATACGTAGGCGGAACTACGTCACTAGCCAAGCCCACTTTTGGGCATGGCTAGGGGCGTTACGGGGAAGGCATAAAAGACAGCGCACAGGAAGTCTCGCTCTCTTTTCCTGGAGTTCGGCTTCCGGTCCAGTCGCTAGCTGAGATCTGCTGGGCTTCTCGGGGTTTGGTATCTTGTGAGTAATTTTCTATATAAAATACTTAGCCTTATTTTCAGTAATTGTGTGTCGCGTATCGTTACAGCGTCCGTAAAGCCAACAGTTTGGTGTCGGAGCGGGATTGGAATCGGGACCCAGGGCTTCTCTCGGCCCGACCAGGCACACGTGGACTCTCCTTTCGCTAAGTTCCTCACTACTTCGCTCGGCAAGGCACGATTCCTGCCGCCAGGAACCAGCACCTTCTACCTGCCGGTAAGGTTAGGCGGAATTCCAAGGTTTCTCTCGCGGCCACGTGCTGTTTTACTGGCGGCCAGCTGACTCCGGCCACCTGCTCTTTCGCTGGCAGCCTGTTGATTTCGGCCTGAATTACTCCATTGGTAACAAACGTAACTGCTTTATACAATGTCAACAGCTAACACTATGATGCAGGATGTTAAGAATTTTCTTGTTTTTTGTATGGATGGGATTTTAGAAAGGGTTGAGGACCTACCTGAAAGGTGCTTCCTACCCATGATGGTGATTATTAGCTTCATAATCAATATAATTTTGTTAATGAAATGGCTCAAAAATAGGAATAAACTTATACAGGTCATGCAGTCATCGCAGGATAGTTTTGAAATCTTAATACAAAGGATTCAGGAAATGCAAAATTCATTGCAGGAGAGTAAGAAAGGGTTGGTAGAAAATATTCAGGATATTAAAAATGATAATGTAGGTCTGATGAACAGGTTTAAAGAGACGGAACACAA